AACTGGGCTCTAGAGAAAAGTTATTTCTTACCTTTTCTTGGCTGGAGTACTTCATATGAAATTCTTACGGTGAAAAAGAACAGATACCTAAACGATGTTTAATATATTTATGTATTTTAGTGAAGAACCGTACAGGATAAGGTGTGAGAAAAATGAAATGAATTTTGCTGAGGTTACTTGTGCGACACGCTAATCGCTAAGTAGATGATTTATTACAGACCTAATGATCCGTCTAATAATCATCGACTTCACAGATTCTTGTGTAAATCAGTATAAGTGACTTTACAAGCAAACGTCGACCACTCTGATACTTGCACGCTGCTTTGATTTTTGTCTAACAAAAGCATAAGGTAGACCAGCGTACTGCCTTGCTATTCGATTTCAATTACACAGTAAACTGTAGCTAGTCCAATAAGTAGAACAGAGTCACTTACAAAGACGTGATTGTTGGTTTCGTATACATATTAAGATAAATAGCATATTTAAGAGCTTTTTGTTTTAATTTAAAAGCACATAAAATTGCTAATGCGGTATATAAACTGGAAGTTCATAGGATGTCACAGGCAAATCAGGCGGACGTAGAAATTTTCTCACTAGTTGGCATTGAATAATGATTTTCAGTACGTTAGAACATTCTCCTTCATTTTTTATACCTTTTCCTTTTGCCCAAATGTTCTGGCAGCTTCTGGATATCCATAGACCGACTAATGGTGTAATCGTATGTGTTTTTCTATCAAATTCGAACTAATTCGATAGTGCGGTACACTTCTCTACGAGCAACCTAATATAAAGCGCCGAAAGTAGTAATCCCTAATCAGATAGACTTAGATTGGAGGAACGAGCGCATTCAAGTTGGATGATTCTTTGCCCAGTCAAGAAAGCAATGAGGCATAACGATGTGATCTAGAACTATCGTCAAGTAACCATCCTCTGTACTTTAGATTGCCATGCCAACGGTCCTTGAGCCTCTTGAGGAACTCGAAATAGCTGGTTTCATTTATCGTTTCATCTTCAGCGAGTATCTCGTAGAATCATATGCCTTTGATATCCACTGCAACTACTACTATCCTTTTTGTCACAATTTACTCGACACTACCATTGAACTCAACTTCTCTGCATAACAACAACACTGTCTTGCCTCGTCCCTTTGCAGCTGGTAATAAAGATTGAACGATGCCTTGTCGATGACGATTATATGCTCCACACGAGTCTTTCGTTGATTAAGGCTCCACGCTTCAGGCGTGGAATACGTTACACGCATTTCCGATGGCCTGGAGCCACTTTATTCGCAGTATTTGTCTCTCATTTTATAACACTTTACATATGAAATTAGTTTTTAGCCAACGGAACCATTAAGCTTGAAGCTCTGCTTTCGTGAAAAGACTCCTAGACTGCATCGATGACTTTCGTCCTTGACCTTGGGGCCCGGATATCTTGCTATCTTTTCGCTACCTTTCAACACTTCGATCTACGTACTTACAGTTTTAGTGCTATTCACGTACTGTACTTTCATTTAAGGCCTCTTCGTCTAATGTCTTCACCAATCAACAAGAAATTTCCGCAGGACTACAACCTTCGAAACGCAATGCATTGGCCATTGGGCGTTGATTTTCGAGGCTATCGGGCTAGAAAATTTCTAACATAATTTCTCAACTTACTTTTCGGTTTTCACTTACAAGTTTTTAGAAAATTGGAATATTTATTAGCGAAATTCCGTAATTTAGAAGTTTGAAATTAACTTATTTTCTAAACTAAAGTTTCGATGGATTCACTTGTAACAGCCTAATGGCTAAAGATCGAAGAAAGACACCACGCACTTGCAACGTCTTATTTTATATATGCGCACTTGCATTAGTTACGTTACAAATAGGCCAACATAAACGGCGCGCATAAAACGAACATTCTGCTTCGCTATATTTGTATCTGTTTTATCAATAAAAAACTATCTACATTCTAACATTTGCATGAGACCCATTTGAACGTCATGCTAGATATAGGCAAACCCCGTATTGCATCCTTGCATATCATAATACAAAGCAACATGGTGAAAGGCTCGTTTGGACCTGCCTGGTTTCCTTATCGTATGAGTCTTACAAAAAAATGTATAACGCAAACCCGCGTGTTCGTGCAGATTAACTGATTGTTCGTACTCGTGTACCAAATATGTAGTGCTCTCTTTAGGCCTATGAGCTCAGAATACAAAGAAACAAAAACTGGCAATAGAAATCAACACCATATACGAAACTGGTTCGTGTTGGTGTTCGCCTCTGTCAGTAATTTGTGTAAATGCTAAAAAATTTGACCAGATACCATAAGTTTTTAGATGTCTGCTACCAAATAAACAATCAAAAATAGTTTTTGCCCTTTCTCGACTGTAGCTCAGCTTTACTCTTCGATATATTGAATGCTTTTGAGTATCAAACAACATGGATAATGCCTATGTTATTCGACTGGAACAATAATGTGTCGGATATATCGTCGAATGATTAGTCTTCATCAAATTCATGTTTTACGATGTTGGTAAACGGTATTTTCTATGCAATAATGCAAACGTGAAATACCGCTGTAGGCCACACTACAATCAAAATAATGAGTATAACAATAGTTATAGCAGTTATTGATCGCATAAAAACCTATCTTATTTCTGCTGATGTTCTGAAAATCGGGTCATGTCATTCAATCACTCAACGTTTCTTTGCTTTTTCAACCATTTTTTCGTATAGATTGCAATATTAGTCAGATCTATGTATGACCAAGCACTAGCTCATAAGCTAACGAATCAGTTCCCAGAAGTATCACAGCGACCTGAATAAATATCTGACGTATTGCTGTCAGACATAGCTAAAATATTAGCGAAAACCAACGTCAGGTAGCTCTATGGTGTACCTCCTGTTAGATATGACTCATAATGAGCGTCAACTTCTTCAGGCTCTTCGTTATGCCCCTGTTGATTATTGTGTAGAACCGCAAAATATAGATGTTACTCTGTCATGAAACTTTTATACTGTCCCTAAGCAGCATGGTTTTTAGCCACAAAAATGCACTAGCGTATTTATCATAAGCGATAGTATTATAAATGTATCGGTAAATCTATATAATTTCAAAAAACGTTTATACGTGTAGAGTTACCATCTATAAAGTATTTTTTCCTTCTAGACAAGTCAGTTGTTCCATGGACCTTCAGTAGTTTGCGTGTGTGCGCTCCACATCACTTATAATAGATGAGGTCTTTCTGCGCGACCAACAATCGATGAAACGAACTTGATATGCGCAGACATATAAAAGTAATAATAACAATACAGCGGATTTTGTGCACTGAATATGCTGGTCAGCTCGTGCAACTGTACTGTAACGTTGAATCACTAATTATGGCCATAATCGTGTATAAAATCAGTGTTTTGGCAACATAACATTGATCCCAGTTGCTATGTACAGAAGCCTGCTGATTTAGCTCCCAGCGATTTTCCGGTAGTTGTCAGAAGCAGCTTTAAAGCAACCTTGAACCTGGTCCATGTTACTTTAGCTGGTTGATGCCGTTACGCTGAACAAGTTTAGACAGTCAGAGGCAGAACAAACAAAAGATATACATGTGTTTTATTATGAAATAGGCTTTATGCGGCGATCGATGGCCTGGCAGAACATACAAAGCCTAAACCACTAATTTTTTTTATATAAATGACATATGATTTAACGTGTTAACAATAAAAATAAGCCGACATCACTGTATATACATGGGCATAGCAATCTTTCCTCCAGATAGAATTGAGTTTCCAAGCGAATTTTAAGCCATATCCCACTACGCGCCGATGAATTTTGCTCGCTTAGCGAACTTAAAATTTTGTGTTTAACAGGCAATTTCGATTGTGCTACCAGTGCAAATCAATAACGGACATGGTACTTTTAAGCAGGTTGTTAATTCACATATTTAGGTGTGTTGGGCTTATACTGATAGTTTACTTATGAGTTGTTTATTCAAAAGTGCATTTTGATCAATTAGCATACGCAACCGTTCTTCAGGCACAGTTGGCCTGAAATTGTGTCTCTTTGTCATATACCGGTAGATAGGCTTTAGCGGTAGCAATAGCTGCAATGGCAGCGGTAACACAGTGCCGTGAACTAACCTCACGAAGCTGGAGAAAATGCTTAGCCAATAGTGAATTGGCAGAACAATTCTTCCACAGCCGTAGGCAACGCCAGCTACTGCTGTTTTTTTTTGTTAAATGTGCATGAAAGCGGGGGTATAAGAGGGGCGACAAAATCAATGAAACTAATCTAGAAATACTGGCTAACCATCCTTGAAAAACCAAAAGATTCGTTCCATGCAATGTCTCCATTGTTCCGTTTGTTTCGGTTGTCTTTGATTCTATTACTTTTTAATCAAACTAATGCAAAATAGTGATAATAAGTTACGCAGTATTATGTGAATCATATTGAGAGGAAATAAAGAAGTCTATTTTTTAGCCTATGGTGCGGGATTCATACTTTGACCTTAGACCTTTTTGCCGCATACTAGGCAAGGTACGTAACTTAATAGTATATTGAAATTTCGATATTATATTGATAAATTAAAATTCGACAGCTAGAGAACAAAAAACTTGAAGGCACGTAACCTCGACTAGCCGCTAGCGAGGATTACATCCAAGCAAAGACAGTATTTTAATACACGTACTTCCATATATA